TTTTTTTGTCTTTTTGAGACAGGGTCTCACAATGTAGTTCAGGCTGGCTTTGAACTCACTTATGCAGCACGGGCTGGCCTTGAACTCTCAAGGATTGTCCTGCCTCATCCTCCCGAGTGCTGGGATTACTGGCGTGCACCACCACACCCAGCATGAACATATGATTTTATTTCTATTTGATAAATTTAGAAGGAGTTCAACAGCTTGATTTTATTGTGGGTATAAATTTTTACTTGTTTAGGTTTTTTTGAGACCTTCCCAGGCTGGCATCGAACTCATGGTGGTTGTTTTTTTTTGAGACAGGGTCTCCCTATGTAGTCCAGGCTGGCCTTGAACATGCGGCAATCTGCCTCAGCCTCCTGAATGCTGGAATTACAGGGGAGCACCAGCGGCCTGGCAAACTCCTGGGTTTAAATACTTCTGCCTAGATTGTCGCGAGTTCGAGACCAGCCGGAGCTACAAAGTGAGCTCAAGACCAGCTTGAACTGTGTAGTGAGGCCCTGTCTCAAAAAGACAAAAAAAAAAATTAAAAATATATAAAAATAAAGTGAGCTCAAGGCCAGCCTGAATTGCATAGCGAGATCCTGCCTCAAGAAGACTAAATAAATAAATAAATACTCCTGCCTGAAGGTATAAATTTTGTTAAGAAAAAAAGTTTTTGTTAAGAAAGCCAAACTGACTTTCAGAGTGGGTCGGAAATCACAGTGGGTAAGAGTTCCAGGAACTCCCCATTTCTGCCTTGTTTAGCAGAGGTTCTAATTTATTTTCTCCTGATAATGTTGTTAAACAACCTCTTTTGAGGCGTACGTATCTGTTTTTTTTTTTTGTCTTTTTGAGACAGGGTCTCACTATGCGGTTCACGCTGGCCTTGAGCTTACTTTGTAGCCCAGGCTGGCCTCGAACTTGCAGCAATCCTCCTGCCTCAGCCTCCCAAGTGCTGGGATTACAGGCGTGCGCCACCACGGTGAAGTACGTATCTGTTTAAAAAAGTTTTTTTCCTTCTGTGCTAGGAATCAAACCCAGGATCTCTCAACATTATAGACAAGCGCTCTGCACTAAGCTACACCTTCACACCTTTTTCTGGGGCGGTTGTTATGTGGACTATTTTTTTGCGATTTATTTCGTCCGGTTTATGGTCACTCGTGTTCTCAGCCTCACACCGGTTAACGGACCGGCGCCCTAGGGAAGCACGCGGTCAGCACAGATCGGATTCAGAACCGTTCAACAGTTGCCGGGCTCCACTCGCGCGGGCCGCTGACGCTCACGCGATGACTGGCTGAAGGAGAACTTCCGCAGGCTCTTCCGGCTCCTGGGCCTACGCATCGGTGGTTGGCTGGCCTGGCCGAGCGCGAAGCCTCTCGGGAGTTGTAGTTTTTGTGGCCCTGCTGCGGACACCAGGAAGGGTTATTGTGGTTGGAAACTGCAAGAAGCAATTGCGCTCGTTCGCGACAGCTGGCACCATGTCCCGCCTGTCGGTGCCCTGTCACGTGAAAGGCGCCGTAGCCCTGCAGGTGGGCGACGTGCGGACTTTCCAAGGCCGGCCTGGCGTGCTGGTCATCGATGTCACCTTCCCTAACGTGGAGCCTTTCGAGGTGAGCAAACCGGGTGGGCGGGATGGAGCTCCTGGGCGGGGCAACGGGGAATTTGGGCGTTGCCCCGGCGTCTAATCTCTTACCCCAGCCTCTGCAGCGTCCCCGGGGATCTAGGTAGCCATTCAGTTTATTTTTAAAGTAGTACTTACAATATTTACTAGAACCTGTTCTGTTCTCTTCACCTTCGCTTTCCCACGTTCCAGGACAGCGCTGGCACGAAGGTGCCAGGAAATAGGCTCGTTGGTGCTGGAAATTCAACTATGAATTGATGAGTGTGAGCCCTAAGCTTGTGCTGGGCCACAGCTGGAGATCATCAAACAATTATTTATCTCAAACTGGTCTCCTCCTCATTCCTACAGTCCCTGCCAGAGGTCAGAGCACAACCTCCCTGGCCTGGCACGGCGGCACACGCCTGTAATCTTAGCACTCAGGAGGCTGAGGCAGGTAGATCACTGCAAGTTCAAGGCCAGCCTGGGCTACCTATTGAGTTCAAGGCCAGCTAAGAACCGCCTAGTGACTCCAGTTTTCAATCTCTGGTTGCACTTTTATATCAGCTGACAAACTGAACATACATGACCTCAACACAAAGGACAGAGCCTACTTCTAATGGCCTGGCCTTCAAAGTCATTCTGTGTTGCCGGGGATATAGCTCAGCAGCACAATCGCCAGCTCAAGGTCCTGAGTTTGATTTCTGGTATCAAAAAAAAAAAAAAACCCTCTGTCTGCGCCCCACCTTCCCTCTTGGCCCCGTGCACTTGCATTACTGTATGTTGTTATCTCCCAAGTGGTTCCTTAGAGTCAACTGGGAAAACTCATTAAAGGAGTTGACCCACGCGGGCATGGTAGTGCACACCTGAAATCCCAGCACTTGGGCGGCTGAGGCAGGTGGATTGCAGCAAGTTCAAGGATAGCTTAACTACATAATGACCTAAAGGCCAGTTGAACTACAAAGGTTTGAGGTGCAGTTTGGTTTTGTTTGTTTGTTTGTTTTTTGTACTGGGAATCAAACTCAGGGCCTTGCACTTGCAAGGCAGGTGCTTATGCCACTGAGCTACATCCCCGGCCCTGAGGTGCAATTTGGACATTTGCATTTTAAAAAATTTCCTGGAGTAACTCTGATGTGTCTCCATTAAGAACTACTGCTCTAACCAGGCTGAATTGCTTCCTGTTGTGTGCCAGGTTCTCTCATTTTGTAAACTTCCCTGTATATACTATTTTTATATCTCTTGACTTTTCTGGGTTTTTTGGTCTTTTTTTTTTTTTTTTTTTTTTTTTTTTGTCTTTTTGAGACAGGGTCTCGCTATGCCGTTCAGGCTGGCCTTGAGCTCACTTTAGCCCAGGCTGGTCTCAGCTCCCAATGATCTGCCTTCCTCAGCCTCCGGAGTGCTGGGATTACATGCCCGGCGCTTTTTTGGTCTTTCTGAGACAAGGTCTCACTGTGCAGATCAGGCTGGTTTTGAACTCATTTTGTAGCCCAGGCTGGCTTCACACTTGCAGTGATCCTCCAGAACTTGCACAGATCTGATCCTCCTGCCTCAGCCTCCCAAATGCTGGGATTATAAGTATGCACCACCACGTCCAGCTTCTCCTACCTTTCTTGGACCACTAGGCAAACTTTTCCTTCTTTAGGCCCTATGTGTACATTTTCTGCCCCCACCAAGGTTAGTGCTGTGGCACTTTCTTTTTTCTTTTTTGTTTTGAGACAGGGTCTTATCGTGTAGTTCAGACTGTCCTTGAACTCACTACTTATCCCTGGTTGACCTGAGACACAGAGTGACCCTCCTGCCTCAGTCTCTCAAGTGCTGGCATTACAGGTGTGCAGCACCACCGCTGGCAGGACTGTGACTTCCGACAGCATTTGGACATGGGGCAAGATCCACAGTGATGGGTTGTTTGCCTGGCAGGACCTCGAGCTTGACAGGCAGGTACTGTGCCACTGAGCTATATCCCAGGCACAGCTTACGCTTTTAGACTGTGAGAACCTTGGGGAAAGTAAAATTGTGTTTAGGCCCCAGTAATATTTATTGATTTGTTTAGCAGAAGAGTGTATTCTAAAAGAAAAGAAGAGCCTCGTGTGGTGGCGCACGCCTGTAATCCCAGCACTCGGGAGGCTGAAGCAGGAGGATCCTTGTGAGTTCGAGGCCAGCCTGGGCTACAAAGTGAGTTCAAGGCCAGCCTGAACTGCATAGTGAGACCCCATCTCTCTCTTTTTTTTTTTTTTTTTTTGGTACCAGGAATTGAACTCAGGACCTCATGCTTGCTAGACAGGCACGGTTCCATTGAGCTGTATTCCCTGCCCAAGACCCTATCTCAAAAAGACAAAAAAATTAAAAAAATAAATAAAAGAAAAGAGGAAGCTGGGCATTGCACAAGCCTGTAGTCCCAGCTACCTGGGACTGAGTAGGGGCAGTTCAGCAACTCAGCAGGACCCTGTCTCAAAACAATAAGAAGTGCTGGGAAGGCGGGGGGTGGTGGTGCTCACCTGTGATCCCAGGACTCAGGAGGTTGAGGCAGGAGGATCGTGGTGAGTTCAAGGCCAGCCTGCACTGCATAGCAAAACCCTGTCTCAAAAAACAAAAACCCCAAAAACCAAACGAACAAAAAAAGAGTATAGCTCAGTGTAAAAGCACTGGGTTCAATCTCTAGTATTTTTTTTAAAAGGTAGGGGTGCTGAGACTGTAGTTCAGTAATAGAGCACCTCTGTCTTTTTGTGACAGGGTCTCCCTATGCAGCTCAGGCTGACCTTGAGCTCACTTTGTAGCCCAGGCTGGCCTCAAACTCGCAAAGATCTTTCTGCCTCAGCCTCTCGAGTGCTGGAATTATAGGGGTGCGTCACCACGCCCAGCTAGAGCACCTCTGGTTTTGAACTCCTGAAAGGCAGTAAAAAAAGAGGCCCTGTGATTGGTTTGTCATAAGGGTTGTATATGCTCTAGTTGCAGGAGATCACATTTAAGAATTACTACACAGCCTTTTTGACCATCCGTGTCCGTCAGCACACCACTGCGCACACACCAGCTAAGTGGGTGACCTGCCTGCGGGACTACTGTCTGATGCCTGACCCACACAGTGAGGATGGAGCCCAGGAATATGTATCGCTATTCAAGCACCAGGTCAGCTGGCCCTCAGCATGGCAAGGGCAGCCCAGATTAAGGACTTCTGAGTGGCCTGGGGATTGGCCAGGAGGGAAAGGGTCAGACTGGCTTGGGCTGTGGCTCCCCGGAAAGTGCCTTGGACAGAATACTGTTATTTCCTTCCTAAAGACCTGGGGAGGCAGTAACTCGGGTCACTGCTGGTTGGGAGGCTCCTGGGCAGTGAGCCGGGACCTTGGTGGGTCTTTGTGTATGTGTGTCAGATGCTGTGTGACATGGCCAGAGTCCTGGAGCTGCGTCTTATTCTGCGGCAGCCGTCACCCCTGTGGCTATCTTTCACAGTGGAGGAGCTGCAAATCTACCAGCAGGGACCAAAGGTGAGTAAGTACCCCAAAGCTGTTGGCCTTTCCTCAAGAGCTATGGCTGAGAGAGTGGAAGTCGTGGGGAGGTGATGGAGGAGAACAGTGAGCTCATAAGGAGGCAAGCCAGGCATGGGTACTGGAACCTCGTGGTGAGAGGGGAGGCTCTGTCCTCACACTGCCTGACCTTTGGATGCCACTCCTCACTTTCAGAGCTGGAGCCTTCAGGAGACAGAACAGCTTATGTTCTAGGGCTTTCTTCTGCATAGCTGCAGAACTCAGTAGCGTGACTTCTCTTGCTTCTTCTCTTGGCCTCCCAAGCAGGGTTTTCCCAATGTCTCAGGCCAGGGGTCTTTTCCTTTTCCCACTCTGTCTCACCTAGTCCAGTGTGCCTTTGCTTTGCAGAGCCCGTCTGTGACCTTTCCCAAGTGGCTGTCCCACCCAGTGCCCTGTGAGCAGCCTACCCTTCTCCTTGAGGTGAGTTCCCACCGTGGGTAAAGCCCATGTGTGAATGGCTGTTGTGTCCAGCACTGGCCCAGATGGTCCCCCTTCCCCTAAGATTCTGGGGGTGGGCCCTGGTGCCTTGGTCCAGGCTGTGCCGTCCTGGGTGTCCTGTGGAATCTGAGGACTCTCAGGTGCGGGGCTGGGCTGCCTCCTCAGCATTCACACATCATCTGGGAATATTACTGGTCTCAGCTGGAGAGACCCATAGCCTAGCTTGGTCTCTCTAGAGTTCTAAGGGCCGTACTGGGGAGAGACCCATGGCCATTGACCCCTCCCTCTGGAGCAGGGTCTCCCAGACCCCAGCAGGGTATCCTCCGAAGTACAGCAGATGTGGGCGCTGACGGAGATGATCCGGGCCAGTCACACCTCCACGAGGATCGGCCGCTTTGACGTGAGTGATCTCTTCCCTCTGCTTGGCTTGCACGGCCCTGAGCAGGTCAGACCTCACAGTCCTTTGTGTTACAGGTTGATGGCTGTTATGACCTGAACTTGCTCTCCTACACTTGAGCAGCGGCTTCTAGCTGAGCTTTTGGCCTTTCCGTGCCCACCAGGCTTAGTTGGGGCCACCAGCGACAGAAGCGTTCCCGGTGCATTCTCAGTGTGGTCTGCGTGCTCATCCTGCTGGGCCACGTCCGCAGATTCAAGATTCTTGGGACTTACTATGTGGCTTCAGGATGAGCTCCTGGCAAGGGTGCATTCTTCTTCTTTCACCTGGCAGCAGCACAAGTCCTTCTCCCCTAAACACACTCCGGCTCTTTCTACCGAGAATCCCTGAGTGCCCTCTGCCCATCCTGCCCACATGCACAGCCCCGTCTTCTGTGGCCACCCGCCCCGAAGTGCAGTGAACCAGTTCCGTCTGACCCTGGAAGGCCACTGCTACCTTGGCACTGAGACTGGAAAGCTTGAGGCAGAAAGAGAGGCCCCTGTCCACCCTCTGCACCCTGTCGTGGCCTTCTTTCTCTTTGTACTATGTCCACAAAAATAATTTCTTTTTTAAAACTGTTATTTTTCTTAGTAAGTATTTGTCATATACACTGATCACATTCATCCTAGGGAATTCGTACCTGTACCAAACACATCTCAGTTCTTCTTGTCACAAAAAGAAATTTCTTGTCTAAACTTTTCTGCCACCTGCTGGGGAGGTAAAGCTGGGGATTTAGGTAGCCGAGTTCCGAGGCCCCTGAGCCGGCCCTGGGGTGTGTGTTCCATTGAGCCTGGCCAGGGGCCTCCGCAAGCCGAGGGCTTGAGCATGAGACCAGCAACCTGTCTGCCGTCTGACACAGCCCAGGGCACATCCGTGTCCTTTTCCCACATGCTGAAAAGGCATCAGCCTTGGCAGGCGTACATCCAAAGGGGATTTTCATTAGTGCCGTTTGTGAGGTGAGCCGCAGCAGTGCTCCAGGCCAACTGCTGAGTGATCCAGGTTGCTGCTGCTTCAAGAGTGAGAATCTTCTTCCCTTCTGGTTCTTCCTGGCTGTGCCCAGGGAGATGATAGAGCAGTACCACGAGGGGTCTCGGACCCGGAAAACTGGACATACTTATCAACACCACCCTTTGGTGTCCACTCCGTTCTCACCCATCAGCCTTGCAAGCTGGTATCTTCCCCCGTGGGGCTGTTTACTTAGTCCTACTCTGCTTCTGCTGAAAGGGTGATGACCACAAGTCCTGTGTTCGGGGAACGGTGTCCCTTAGTGTGTGTGTGTGTGTGTAAGAGGGAGTGAGTGTGCATGTGAGGGAAGAGGACCCTGGGGTGGCAGAGACCATGCGGTACTCAGTCCCCAGCACCCAACACAGAGCCTGGTATCCAGCAAGATTGATAAATATTAATGGAAGTTGGGCACAGTGCTGCAGCTGAAGCAGGAGGATCGCCTTGAGTTGGAGGCCAGCCTGGGCTGCACGGCGAGCCTGTCTCCAATAATAAATACTGAATACTTGTGCAATGTATGACTGTGCTGGCTGCCTGTGTCTGCCCAGTGGTCAGACCTGGACACCCCTGTGGGAGGCCGGCAACAGCGGTTTTCCGCCTGTCCGGCTGGCTCCACCCTCCCATGACCTCCCCACCCCTTCGCATTGTTCCTCTTCCCTGCCTGAGGTCCTGACTGATTCAGCCCTTTCAGTCCTTTGTGGAACTTCGGCCCTTTGGAGGGGAGTTCTTCGGGGGAGGTCTGACCCCCAGCTTCTCAGTTCCGGTTCTGCCCAGTCCGCTCTGCACTGCCTGAGTCGCCGGATTCCCCACAGGGAAGAGACAGTAGGGAATCCCAGCACTTTCTGGCCTAGATCCTAGGCTGCCCTCGGGGCTTCCCAACCCCTCCTCTAAACCTCTTTGCACTAGAAAGACCTGTCCAAGCAGGAGCTCGGACTACATCTCCCGGCGTGCCTGGCAGCGTGGTGTTCTGTGTGTGCCGTCTGCAGTTGTTTCGGGCGGAGATGCAGCGAGCTATGAGCCTGGTGGCCCGTCTGGGCGTTCGCCGGCCAGCGCTCCCCACAGCTCTGAGTCGCTCACTCAGTTGTGCACAGGTGGGATAAAGGGTGCTACAGGAGTTGGTGCTGATCTTGGGGGGTGGGGGAGGGAGGCGGCCGGGTAGCAGGGCCCCGGTACTGTTAGCACTGTAGTCCTAAACACAGCTGCCTGCAGGACGTGCTCCGCAGGACTCCGCTGTACGACTTCCATCTAGCCCATGGTGGGAGAATGGTGGCGTTTGCAGGCTGGAGTCTGCCCGTGCAGTACGGAGACAGCCACGTGGATTCACACCTGCACACACGCCGGCACTGCTCGCTGTTCGACGTGTCCCACATGCTGCAGGTGAGCCAGGGAGTGCCCACTGCTGGTTAGGCCTGCCCTTCCATCACAGCCCTGCATATCTGCGCTTTGCTTGCTGAGAGCTGGATTCCAAGGGCAGCCTTCTCAGGAGGGCTGGAGGTCTCCAGGGTGTCACAGACAGATTACAGCGCCACAGAAATTAGAGGCAAACTGGGGGGTCTTCTGAACCATCTTCTCTCCAGTCTCGCCTGCCTTCTCCTACTAAGCACATCCTTAGTACATTGTGTCTGCCAGAACTGATACTTACTCTCATTCACCCTGGTGGGTATGGATCTTTTTTTTTTCTTTTCTTTTTGAGACAGGGTTTCCCTATGCAGTTCAGGCTGGCCTTGAACTTATTTTGTAGCCCAGGCTAGCCTTTAACTCGCAGCGATCTCCCTGCCTCAGCCTCCCGAGTGCTGGGATTACAGGCGTGCGCCCCCACGCCCAGCCTAGGTGGGTATGGATTGGAAAAGGGGTATTTCAGTAAGCTGCTAGGTTCTTGGAGGTTCCTAGGCCTCAGCCAGTCACAGCCTGGGCTGGGAGATGTGGGGGAATCCAAAGGTGGAGACTGTGTAGAACCAAAATGGTCAGTCACCTGTGGGCTGGGCTGGACGGTGGCTGGCAGGCGGGGGGACTGCTTGCTCAGAGGCTGATGCCGGCGCCTGAGGCTATCTGTCTGTTCCTCAGACCAGAATATTTGGTTGTGACCGAGTGAAGCTGATGGAGAGCCTAGTGGTCGGAGACATTGCAGAGCTAAGGCCAAACCAGGTGGGCCCTTTTGTCTCTGCTCGACGGGTGTTCAGTCCTGAGCCAGGAAGGGGACGAGTCACTGCCGCATGCTCGAGGGGACAGAGATGGCTCAGCTTCTCAGGGCTTGCTGTATGGGGAGACAGAGTCCTTGGGTCATTTCCGGACACCTAGCCAGCTGGGGTGGGGGCTGTTCCAGCCTCGCCACATCACGCTGGGAGACCAGCAAGCAAGGCTTATGAGCAGCGCGTTGATCTGCCATGCTGCCTGTTTCCTGGCTGTTCAAAGTGTAGCCCCTAAACCGGCACCTCGCTGCGTCCCAGAAGCTTATTAGGAATGGGCTCTCTGGTGCTGCTTTAGATCTGAGAAGCAAGCTGGGTGACTCAGGGGACCTCTCAACCCCAGGCTCCTCTTCCATCTAAGTGGGGAGGCAAGGCCAGCCTTACAGTGTTCTGGGGGCAGTGTCGTAGAGCGTGGTAGGAGTGTCTGGGATCCCAGAGGGGTGCTTTGAAGCTTTTATTCTGGAGGTTGGAACACTGGCAGAGTTGTGTGGGAGGGACGAAGCAAGCAGCAGGTCTTAGGTGTGCAAATGGGGCTGTCACTACTAAGTGAGGGGGGGCACAGGGTTGTCACCAGACTGGGGAGTGCTCCCTATGTTGGGTGGGGGGGACGCTCAACGCTTACTTGGTGCCTGAGGATCAAAGACCCTGGACTTGACCCAGCCTGTAACCTGCACAGCCTGAGCCCTGTGCTGCAGGGAGGGGCTCTGTGAGCAGGTGGTTGAGTGGGCCCAGGGCTATGTCTAGCTCCCCCTTGGCCTTGCCCACCTGAACCTGGAGGCAAAGATGCTACACTTTGATGCTAGGGAACACTGACGCTGTTCACCAATGAAGCTGGAGGCATCTTGGATGACCTGATCGTCACCAATGCTTCTGAGGGATACCTGTATGTGGTGTCCAATGCTGGCTGCTGGGACAAGGACTTGGCCCTCATGCAGGTACAACCCATTCCTGTCTTAGGCACTTTGTCTTCCTGTTGATAAAGCAGCATCTAAAGCAGCAGGTGGTCCCGGAAAGACCTGGCACAGATGAGGAGCTCAGGTGACTGAGTGAATGAGCAGCTGTGATACTTAAGAGCAGGCCTTCCCTAGAGCATGCCAGCCTCTGGAGGTAGGGAGGTGAAGCTGATCTTGGCCCCTAAGTGAGCACCCTTTGGTAAGAGGTTATTCCTCTTATTCCACCCTTGGCTTAGATTATTCCTACCACTCAGTAGCTGTGTAAACTTGTAAGATGGGAACTAGTCCACTGTCCTTTTGCCCAGCCCTGCAGTATCCAGCCCATGGCAGGTGGTCAGTAAGTGGTACTGTACCAGACACTTGTTTTGGGGAGGTACGGGAATTGAACTCAGGACCTTGTGCTTACCAGGCAGGCGCTGTGCCGCTGAGCTAAATCCCCATCACTGTACCAGATACTGATGTGACGTTTCTGTCTTTCCTTTCAGGACAAGGTCAGGGAGCTTCAGAACAAGGGCAGTGACGTGGGCCTAGACGTGGTGGATAATGCTCTGCTAGCCCTGCAAGGTAAGATAGCTCGGCAGGAATTGGAGCTAACTTTTGGCATCCTGGCTTCATGTAGTGCTTAGCACAGAGGCTATTCCAAGAGAAGAAAGGTATGCATGGTGTGGTATTTGTATGCTATAATTCTGAGTTAGGTACCCAAT